GAATATCTATGGAGGAAACCAAAATTAATCAACTTGCCAACATAGGCTATCACATTTATTTTGGTGGCACTCTTTAAATGATAATAAGCCTTTTTTTCTCGCTTCGGTTGTCTCGCACGGCTTTCGGAATTCGCGCGGATTTCGCAACTTACATAATTTAGATATTTCGTTCGAAACGGATTTACTTATTCAATCGGTTTACTACGCGGACGTATCTACGCGCACACGTCACAGCATTTTTTCTATAACTATCTTGAAACAATACATACGGAATACAGTGTTCAAGCGGCCAACATAGGCTGGTCCTTCTGCTGTATTGTCAAAGATAGAAGCAAAATTTATTCAAATGGGTCAAGTCTTGAAAACTAAGCTGTCACGCAGCTCCAGCTTGATACCCAATTAAAAAAAAAAAAAAAAAAAAAAACGTTAATTTTTGAACTTCCTGAAATTTCTTTCATCTTTCCTTTGAAGTTTCTTCCAAATTTCCCTAGTAATTTCCGTCCACCTTACCCTGTAAGTTATTTTCCGATTCCTTCCGGAAACCTATTTCAACTTCCCTTGGAAGCTTCAGGAAAACTACAGGAACTTTTCAGAATAGTTCGGAATTTTGGGTAGGTTCCTATAAATTTAAGACAGTTTCATTAACTTCTGTTCAAATTCGAGAACCCGGGAATCTCAGGAAAGCCCAGAGAACTTCAATAAACTTAAGGAAACTGAAGTATATTTTGGAAACTTCAAAAGTCCAAAGAACTTCAAAGAAATTGAATGGTTTTCAGGATAGTTCCGTTTATTTCAGGAGAATTGAGATAACTTTAGGGAAGCTCTGAGAATATCAGGGCATATAAATTCAAGGAAATTTCTGAACCTTTAAATGAGTTCCGAGAAACTTCAGTAAAGTTTCGAGAGGTCCATTAAAATTTTGGAAACGTAAGGGAAGTTACATGAACAGTAGAAAATTGTGAGAACATTATAAGGAAAGTTCTGTGTTTTTTATCGGCAGAACTTTAAAAAAATTAAAAAATCGAGGAGATCAGAGAACTTCAATGCTGCTGTTCATTAATTTAAAAAAAAATGAAAGCGCTAAAGAAGATACGGGGTAATTTCATAATAATTAGGGAAGTTTCGAGTACTTCGAGGATGATTAGAGAACTTCAAAACAGCCCCATTAACTTTAGGAAAATTGCAAGAACTTTCAAGGAGTTTCGAGGAATTATGGGATAGTCCGAAGTACAATTCAGGAATGTTGCGAAAGCTTCAGGGACATTGTGGGGTTTTCAGGGATGTTTTATGAATCTGAAAATTGCTGCATCTGCTCCTTAAAGTATCTTTCGACTGTTCCGTAAGCCTGGCGTTCGACTTTTCCAGAAGTTTCTTCCAATCTACCTTAGGAAGTTTCTCCCAGTGTCTCCTGGAAGTTTCTTCCGTCTTCTCCAGGATTAAATTAAAGTTCTACCGGATGTATCCATCGAGTTCTACCAGAAGTTTCTTTCGTTTTCCTCTGCACGGCGAATGATAACGACCCAAATTTGAGTTTAGTTCACTTATAATCGCCAAAAGTGCAGGAACTCAGCGATGAGTAAAATTTGTCTCATGGTTTCCTGTGGAAAACCTACAAAAATCTGCCGGAAAATGAGGAAATTGACGAAAATTTTATTCAGTCTCGGAGTAGTACCAGTAGACTAAGTGAATCCAATCTTTACTTTTCTCAAATTCGGTAATTTTTCCCTGGAAAATCCTGGGAAAATATGAGGCAAATTTACTCATCGCTGAGTTCCTGCACTTTTGGCGATTATGAATGAACTAAACTCAAATTTGGGTCGTTCTCATTCGCCGTGTGGAAGTTTCTCTATACGTCACTCTCCGTGGGTTTTTTTCGATTTATTTTAAGGTTTTTCCGAGCTTCGCTTGACTTCCGATTTCCACACTTGTCTGGCTTCTGGATTTTTCCATAAGTTTCAAAAAAAATTCAAGAAGTTTCTCAATATTTGAGATCCCTATCGGATATTTTCCGACATCTCTTCCTTATTCTTCGTCTGGAAGTTTTGTCGGTACCTCTAAAAGACAAATTGAAATATTTGCCAGAATTTTTTTCTGACTTACATGGAAAGTTCGATTTTAGTTCAAAAGTTTGAAAAAAAATATACAATTAATTAATAGTGAATACCGATAAATACCGATTTTTAATCATTTGATACCGATCACCATGAAAATAATCTGGCAACGCTGGTTTGCCATACGTGGCAAGATATTCATTATCGTCTGTGCAGTTGTCAATATTAATATTCGTCTTCATCTTGGTGGGGATGATTTTGAGGATCAAAAGCAAAATTATTATTTTAATATTACACCACCATATAGCACTGTAGAACGTGTTGTGTTGGTATTTACGCACATATCGATGGAAAATTATTGTCTCATGCTGAATTGATGATAATATCGAGGTTTTAGGCTGGCCAACAATATTCAAAATAATGATTTTGCCCAAAATTAGTTTGAGGATCGCTTCTGGTTTTGACAATTTTGGATTGGATAATTAAGCGCTGGTGAATATCAACAAACGCGTATTCTTTGATGTATAATGAACACATTTGTTCGCTTCGCTCGTACGCCACAGCGAAGATATTCAAAATGGACGCCGCTCATCTACACTGGGTTGAAACAGTACTCCTCACGTGTGATGGTAAATGATAAAAACAGACACTGGTGAGAATTTTAAGAAAATTCGATAGCTCAGACACTTTTGAGGTTTGGTTAACTTCGATATCTCAAAAGTTTGTTGATGCCCTATGTCCAACAGTTTTAATAGCTGTATAAGTTTTAGAACCTTGTGAACTTTTCATGTCATAGAATTTAGAAAACTTCTCCATTCCTTATTTCGGAATTCTTATCGGAATTCCATGAAAATTCACCTCAGATTTTTTTTTAAATTCTTATAATCATACAGGAACTATTATCAGGATTCTCCTGCTCCTGGAATTCAACCGAGGTTTCCCATAGTATCGTCACAAAACTATGTTGGACTTCCATGAATTTGTTTCTCAGAATTCCCTTGAAATTATTCTTAAAATCCTTTGAGAGAATCCCTTAGAATTTTTTTCAACTATTCTTTAATTCTTTTGGAACATTCTTCCCAATCATAGCTAGGAACTTTAGCTCAAAAATCACTTTGAATTGCTCTAGAATTCCCTGGAATTTTGCTCACAATCCCCGTAATAGTTTCTTCCGAAGCGTAAAATTATTGACTGCTTAGGTTGAGTGTGAAAGAACTGTTCTATCCAGACCGTATGTACCAAACGGTCAAGGACGAGGCAATGAAAGAGCCAACAAAAACATTCAGTCACTCACGAACAGGCGACTCAGCCCGCTTGCTTTCGCTCACACAACATGTAATTGAGGCATTTTTCCATAACAAAATGTAGCTCAGTCATTCAAAACAAGGATTGGGTACCATCACGGAAGAATAAACGTGCTGACTGAGTGCTCTGTTGTCAGTGACTCGTTTACTTCCCAATCATTCAGACTCTCACGAGGCAGTGAATGATGAGTATATCATATGAAAATGATTCATTGAGCCTGAATGTTTTGGGCACTGGTCTCTTCAGAACTACCTTGGAATTTGCCTTTAATGCTCCTTTCAATTTTCTTGAAATTCTTCTCAAATTAACCTGCAACTTCTGGAATATCTTAAAATTTTGTCCAAGCGAAGATTTTTTTTTGTATCTGAGATCTTGATAATTACGTCATATTTGATATTTGTCAATGCCACCTATGACGCCAGGGAGGCAGCTCCCACACCTGGACCCTACCTATCGACCCATCAACTCATGAACCGAGGACCAACAGCTTTACTTCTCTTCCGAAGGAAGGCGTGATTAGAGATGTTATGCCTCAGAACATCCCGGCGGCGCCGACTGGGATTGAACCCGGGTCTGCTGGGGTGAGAGGTAATCACGCTTACCACTACACCACCGGCGCCGCTAAGTCTAAATCCTTGGAGTATTTCTTTTTGCCATATTTATGACTATGATGGGCCTACCGAGAAGAACCTGGAAAAAACCGAGGGGAGCGACACATCTAAATCTCAATTCTAGAGGCTCGAAAAATCTCACCCCAGCGAATCAATCAATACGAAAAACCCTCTTTCATTTCTCGCATCTACTTGTATCTTTTACCACAGCAAAAACCATTTTTTTGGCTCGTAGATAGAGTCGCCCCTCCTCGGAAAAACCTGGATTTTAATTTCCTAACTTTAGTGGCCACCCTGTAATTCGCTTTTAAGGAAAGAGGCTCCGATTTCCATTAGAATACTCCCTGATTTTATATTCGATTTGCTTTAGAGTTCCCCGGAGTTATACACGGCAGATGAATCTGACTCATATTTGAGTCTCGTTCACGCAAATTCGCAAACACGTTGGTCACTCATAGATGAGTAAATGTCACAATTTTCTCATTCTGAGTGACCTACGTTTTTTCAAATTTGAGTGAACGGGACTTAAATATTAGTCAGATTAATTTGCCGTGCATTCATCACCCCCATAATAATAGCCCTTAACATTTCTCAAAATTACCTGAAATTAATTAAATTCCATTAGAATTTCTCCAGAGTTCCTTTAAAACTATCACTAGATTCCCTCTTCAACTAACCTCAAAACTCATTTGGCATTCTCATCATATCTCGCTAGCCAATTGCTTCATAATGCCAAAATCCTAAAATGTTATCCAAGTCCAAGATCCATGACTTTTTTTAGTCAGATCTTCGAAATAAGAGTAATATTTGAAGTTAAAAAAATCGCTAAGTTAAAGAATGTGAAAAACTGATCTAGCCTTATAATCTTAATAATAATTTTGTCATGCAATCTTCGAACAAAATTGCAATTCGTAGATCTCATTGTTTTCTAAAAAAAATCGAGCTCAATCGATTAATAATTTCCATATAATTCCGAGACTTCCAAGAATATTTAACTAATCATTCCCCTTACCTCTCCCGCCCCTCGTTTCAGAAGTGATCCTCGACCAGATGTTCGACCTGGAGAGCCACCTCCCGGACGAGCTGATGGGCGACAATACGTGGGTCGATTCGCTGGCCGGAGGCAACAAACCACCCGGACCGGGTCCGGGGCCTCAAATGAACGGCGGCGACGACCCCGGAGGAACGTCCAACATGGCCCAGCAGATGGCGCTGCGGCAACAACAGCAGCTGCACCAACAGCAACAACAGCAACAGCAGCAGCAACAACAACAACTGCACCATATCATGCAGCAGCAGGTAAGTGGCCTATCCCGGCTCCATTCCATCGGAGGTTGGTTGAATTCTGAAGTGAAATTTTCCCGAATGAACTCGCAGGGTAACAAAAGCATGGCCGGACAGCAAATCATCGGAATTGGACCGATGACCAACAAGAGTCCGAATCTGCTGCCGATGAACCAGAACATGGCGAACAATGTGGTGGTAGGATCGATGGGTAGTGCGGCGATGCTGGGGATGAACAACATCCCGCAGAACAACGGCGGAGGACCGATCATGACGAACACGGCCATGGGTCTGAGTGGGGGAGTTATGAGTGGCGGCATTGTGATAAATAACAATATGAAGCAGGGTGGACCGAATCCGGGAATGATGCATCAGTTGCCGAATGCGATGCAGAATGGCCCGATGACCAATCCCGGAAGGATAGGGATGTCAGGTCAGCCGGGACATATGGCGCGGGGTCCTGGTCATATGACCCAAGGGCTAAGAAACTTGATGCAGAACCACAGCGTCGGAGGCATGGGCAATCAGATGAACCAGATTGGACCGGGAGGACCGTTTGGGGGCTACCAGCAGGGACCCAACGTAGGTGTGATGAATCCCGGAGGACTAGCTCCAGTGCGGGGGTCTCCAGCGGCGATCAATCGGATGCCTAACATGGCAATGGCCGGAGCGAGGATGGGAAACCCTTTGGCTGGTAATATCATGCCCGGAGGAGGAATTGGTATGAACGTCGTCAACGAAGGAGGAGTAGCGGCGCAGGCGCAACCTCCGACACCGTCACCGGCACAACCTCAGTCCGGAATTCCAACGGCCACAGTCCGGCCGCAAACAGCTACTCAGAATCAACCAATGAATCAAATGAATCCAGCAGGTCCGGTTGGAGCTGCAGGAACGACACCCGGAACAGCCGGTCAGCAACCTGGTCCCACTCAGAGTGGTCCCGGCAATCCGCTGCTAGCAGATCCGGAAAAGCGCAAACTCATCCAACAGCAGCTGGTGCTGCTATTGCACGCTCACAAATGCCAACGAAGGGAGACGGAGAATCCCAACAGCAATAATTGTACCCTGGCGCACTGTCGGACGATGAAGGAAGTCCTAACGCATATGCAGTCCTGTCAGTTGGGAAAGAACTGTCCCAAAACGCATTGTTCCTCGTCGAGGCAAATTATCAACCATTGGAAGAATTGTCAACGACAGGACTGTCCGGTTTGTTTACCTTTGCGAGATACGAACAAGTACAAGCAGAGTCAACAACAACCCGGACAGCAACAGCAGCAACAAAATCAGCAACAACAACAACAGCAGCAGCAACAACAACAACAACAACAACAACAACAGCAGCAACAACAACAACAACAGCAGCAGCAGCAGCAACAACAACAACAGCAGCAGCAGCAGCAACAACAACAACAACAGCAGCAGCAGCAACAACAACAACAACAACAACAACAGCAGCAACTTAAGAACCAGTTGCAGCAGGGCGTTGGACAGGATCCAAGCCAACAGCAGCAACAACCCGGCCAAGGTCCACAAGGTCAGCCCGGTCAGATGCCAGGTCCGTTCAACCAGCTTGGCGGCAATCAAGTTCAGTGTCCGTCCTCATCGGCGCCGAATTCGATGGGTGGAAACATTCAAATGCCTCCGCAAGTTGCCGGTGGAATGCCAGGACAACAGCAGCAGCAACAACAACCCGGTGGTCCCGGAATGGTCGGAGGTATGAGGAGTATGCCCTTGGGGGCCAATCAACCGCAAGGAGCCGTTCGAATGATGATTCCTTCGAATCAGATGATGAACAACGTACTCCCGAATGCCACCAGTGATGCTTCCAATGTTGGTCCAGCAGGTGGACTTCCGATTACCAGCCAAGCGCCTGGTGGGTCTAACCAAAGTATAACTCAAATGGCTGCAGCTCTTCAGCAACAACAACAACAGCAGCAGCAGCAGCAGCAACAACAACAGCAACAGCAGCAACCCAATGCTCAACTGCAACAGCAACAACAAGGTCAAAACCAATCTCAAAATATCATTCCACTACCAGGTAATGTCCTGTTCAATCAGGATGGCCAGGGGCCAGTCCAGCAACAGCAAGCTGGAGGGGCAAATGCTGGCGGTCCCGCTGGAGCTAGTGGCAACTTCCCGGCCAATCAGATGATCGCTGCTCCGGTTCAAGGCACTAAAGATTGGCACCATTCCGTAACGCCTGATCTCCGAAATCATCTCGTCCACAAGCTAGTGCAAGCCATCTTCCCATCGCCGGATCCCTCGACCATGTTCGATAAGCGTATGTACAACTTGGTGGCGTACGCAAAGAAAGTCGAAGGAGACATGTACGAAATGGCCAACTCCAGGTCGGAATATTACCACCTACTGGCGGAGAAGATCTACAAGATCCAGAAAGAGCTGGAAGAGAAACGCCAGAAGCGGAAAGAACAACAAATGCAGCAACAACAGCGGCAAGCTCAGGAACAGCAACAACAACTTCAGCAACCGGGTGCGAATGCCCAAATCCGGCCGATGAATCCGAATCAAGCACCGGGAATGATTGGTCCGGGCATGGGCGCCAACAATGTGATGCAGATGCCTCGACAAGTTGGACCCAACATGCTAAATCAAAACAACCTCATGCAGCAGAACCGCATGCCTCTGAACGCTGGTCAACAACCTCAGCAACAGCTGTTCGTATCCCAACCTGGTCCCAGTCCGAACAGTATGGGCCAACAGCAGCAAACCGTGCTGCCGGGTGGTTTGTCCCCATTTACCTCCCAGCAGCAACAGCAGCAAGGCCTCAACAATCACCCTCCAGGAATGACGCCGCCTTCATCGCAACAGAATGCTACCCAGTTCATGAATGGTCCTTCCATTGCCGACAGCTCACCCATTGGGTTGCAGCAATTTAATGACATTATGAAGGCCAAGTACAATGCCGGACAAGCGGCGGCGGCGGCAGCAGCAGCCCAAAACAACTCCATGGCTGGCTCTGCCGGTGGCATGAATCAAACCGTAGCACCTTCAATTCCATCACCATTCGGCAGCAGCGGATCCAACTCAATGCAATCGAACAACAACAACACCTTCAACGGTAACCAAATGATGAACAGCAATTGTTCCAACAGTGCTCAACAGCAGCGGAATAGTCTAGGTCAAATGCCGGTCACGCCAACCAGCGGCGGAGATCTCCTGAACTCATCAGGAAATAGTGTTCCCATTCCGTCACCATCGCCGAGCTTAATTTCAAATGGACCGATTCCACCTCCGCCTGTCAGCACCCCGAATACACCAAATGTATCGGCTCTGATTGCATCCGCACCGGAACCGACTCCTCCACCACCAATCTCGTCACCAATCCCGATCTCGACACCGCCTGCACTGGGCGGACTATCCAACAGTAGCAGTAGTAGTACTCCAGCGCCGCAGACGGCATCAGGAACTTCAATCACAAGCACCGCCTCCAGTGGGCCGACGACAACGACAACCGCTTCCACAGGAAGCACTACCAGCACAACGCCATCGTCGTCCCTCACCTGCAGCACCACCGCCACCACCAACAGCAGCTCGACGAATCGTTCCTCATCGTCTTCGTTTAGTTCGCAATTGGCCGCCCTGGAAGCGGCAGCACGTGATCAGGATGAAGACTCCCAACCCGGTGGGGCAAACAACTCCGCTGGTGAGTCGAGCGCCAAAGGAGGCAAACTGGAACTGAAACAGGAACAGGACATCAAATCCGAACCGGACACGAATCACATGGACACCTCGGACAGTGGGTCCGGAGCGGGGGCCGGTGCTGGCAAAAGTGTCAATAACGACAATTGTCCCAGCATCAAGCAGGAAATTAAGACTGAACCGATGGATACGAGCGAAAGTCAGGACGGAACGGAGAAAAATAACAGCAAACTGGACGTCGTCAAGTGCAAGGAAGAACCGATGTCACCGTCGGGTACGAGCGGGAATGCCACTAGCACCACCGTCAACGCCGTCGTCAAGACGGAACCGAAGGTCTTCCCCGAACCAATCAAATCGGATCCGGCCGACACCAAGAAGAAGTGCTGTAAGTATCATCCGCAACGTGTCTACTGTCCCCTTTGGCAAGTGTTCCCAATCCTAATTGTATTTACCCTCAAATAGCCTTCAACCCGGAAGAACTGCGGGAGGCGCTCATTCCGACGCTGGAGAAGCTGGTCGCACAGGAACCGGAATCGATTCCCTTCCGGTTACCGGTCGACCCGACGACGCTGGGCATTCCGGACTACTTCGACATCGTTCGGAAGCCGATGGATTTGAGTACGATCCGCAAGAAGCTGGACTCGGGCCAGTATTCCGATCCGTGGGAGTACGTGGACGACGTGTGGCTCATGTTCGACAATGCATGGCTGTACAACCGGAAGACGTCCCGCGTCTATCGGTACTGTACGAAGGTACGTTGCTGGTGTTGCTTGATGGGGTTTGGACCGTTGGTTAACTTTAAACTTTTTCTTTTTCTTTTGTTTATTCGACATTTCAGCTATCGGAAGTGTTCGAGCAGGAAATCGACCCGGTGATGCAATCGTTGGGCTACTGCTGCGGACGGAAGTACACCTTCAATCCCCAGGTGCTGTGCTGCTACGGGAAGCAGCTGTGTACGATCCCGCGGGATGCCAAATACTATAGCTACCAGAACCGGTATGTTGGAATGCGTTTTAGTTTTATTTATTCGTTTTTGGTTTGGTATTTCATCTGTAGGCTAGATTTAGGCAACGAAATTTCGGGTCATGAGAGGAGCAATATCTCGGGAGAATATGTCAAAGCACGGGAAACATGACTCAGGAACCGGGAGTCTTCATTCAGGGTGTAGAATCCATTGGCTTCGCAGACATTTCCGATCAATCTGGCTGTTTGTCCGCCGTACGAGGACTGCTGTGCATTGTTTGAACTTTCAACATACGCAGTTAGGGAAATATTTCTGCAAGGGCTGTTCGATCCGGTGCTAAGTTTTGTCACGCGATATTGACCAAATTATTTGGAAGAATTAACTCTCACGTAAACCTTCGTGAAAATAGTTAGTCTCATAGTCTCAATCGAACTGAGACTATCTGAGAAGATGAAGGGGGATGACAATGCGAAGTTGATTGCTGCTAGCTCAGCAACATAAACGGAACAAGGTTCCTGAAGTTTTCGAAAGGCGGTTGAGTATTCATTGAAGACACCGAAGCCAGTCGATCCATCAGTGAAAAATCTTCTATTGCAATTGACTTGTTGGTACTTTTCAGCAAAAATACGGGGAACTGTGATAGGTCGAAGTTGATCTGGAACTCCTTGAATAGTCTGTTTCATGGAGAGATCATAGTCAATGGAGGAACTGTAGTTAGTAAAGCGTACACGAGGGGGGCACGGAAGGTTAATATCCGATGACATAATTAAGGTTGATTCGCACGAATCTAGACTGGGTGCTCAATACGAGCATTGCTTCATTTTGATCAATACTCTTAATAAGAGAACCTGTTGATGTTGACAATCAAAAAAAAAAAATTAAGCTGATGACTTACGCTAATTAATAAGTGACCCATAATTGTGGGATAACTGTGATCGAATATAATGGATCAACACATCGTAAAGATAAATGGTTTATTGTTTAATACATCAAGAGAGCTATTTAGCTGAACTATACTTTCAGCATTATAAAAAATTTCCTGCAGTTTCACTATTGAAGATATTTTTTCTAGACCTGTGCGCCGATCAAGCGGCTTTGTTACTCAACAAGCGGTAAAGCTCCACGAAATACGGAAAATTGCCCCATTTTCCCTCGAACATTCCCAAAGTTTCTTCATCTTATTTCTTGAAAATTTTCTGAACCTCTATGAAAGACCATCATCTTCTTACAAGTTCCTTAATTATTATTTTTACACGTTCTCTCTATTCGTCAACCTTTCCTATGCATTTCGAAACGATGATCCGAAAACTTCTTAAGTTCTTAACTTGTGAGGCATAGCAGTCCCATTAGTATTTTTATCGAAAGTTACTTATACATTAGAATCGATTGTCGAGTACCATAACTTTACAATGTATTCGCTAAGTTTCTGAAAATGTCGAAAAAAATATCAAAACTATGTTGTCCCATCCATAAGAGCCCATAGTGAACAAAATCTACAACCGCGTCTTAAATATTTCCTGAGCTATTACGAAATTCCCTAAACTTCTAAAAAGGTCGAAGAATTTTTAAGAAGTTCCTGGAACTTAAAAAAAACATGTCAGCACTTTGAAATTTCTCGAAGTTTCTCGTAGTGCTACGTATGTAGCTACTACTAGTTGACAAAGCTCTTAGAATTCCTAATAACTTCGCCTGTACTCCTGCGAAGTTCTCTGAACTTTTTAAAATCTCGTTCATTTTCTGCGAATTTTTTGGAAATTGTACAAAGTTTCCTGAATTTGCACGGAATTTCCTGATCTATTTCAAGTTCGTTAAACTTAATAATTAAAATAAATCTAAATTCCCTTAACTACAACGAGGTTTCCCAAACTTTTATGATGGTCCCAGTTCATAGACTTCATAGACCTTCAAGAAGCATCGTAGCACTTTTGAAAACTACGTAGATTGATTGAACTGCGTTGAAGTTCTGAAAACATTCTAGAAGTGCAGCGGTTCGGGAAATTTAGCTAAGTTGATAAAAGCCCAGCAAACTTTGTAGAAGTTCGTTCAACTTCAGAACATAGAACTTTAGTGAAATTCAATTGAACGTGAAACTTCACATAATTTTTGTAGAAGTTCAGAGAAACTTGAAAAACTTCATCAAATATTGTGAACAATTAGCGAACTTTAAAGAGATTTAGCGATTTTTTTTTAGAAAATCAAGGAACTATGCTGAAGTTCAGTGATTTTTCTTAAATCTCATTAGAGATGTTCAGACGACATCTTCGAAATTCAGGAAATTTATACTAAATTCGGATAATTTCGCAGCGAATAAATTCAGTGAAAATCGGAAAAATTGGAGGTGCTGTGTAGAAATTTGGGAAAACTTCACACAACTGGGAATCTTATAAAGGGAACTTACTTAAGGGTCCTGTACACCACCGGAGGTGCAACGGACCAACGTGAAAAACTTCCATCCTGGGCGGCTGCTCGCTTTTGCCTTGACCTGGGCTCAGGTCAGATTCCTATCGACTTGCTTTATTTCCTTGTTGAGGCTCCGCCGCCATGAGCCCCTGGGTCTGCCTCTGCTGCGATGTCCGATGTCCGATATCGAAGTGTGTGGCCGACCCATCTCAATTTTCGCTCTCGAATTTCTGTTACTATCGGCTTCTGATGACATCGACGATGGAGCTCGGCATTCGAGATCCAGTTGTGAGCCCGCCAGGCACGAATTATATACCGCAGGCATCGGTTGATGGAGACCTGCAGCTTCTGAGTGTTCTCCGCTGATGCACACCACGTCTTGCTGGCGTATAACAACACAGATTTCACGTTCGAGTTGAAAATTCGGATTTTGGTGCGTTGACTTATCAGTTTTGATCTCCATACGTTTCGTAAACTCGCAAAGGCAGCCCTAGGTCGCTCTTGGTCCCACCGTCCGACGCTATTTGGCTGTCAAGATATTGGAAACTTTCGACCTTCTCCACTGCTTGCCCCGCTACCGTAAAGTTGGAAGGGTTGCCCGTGTTGATATCCAACGATTTGGTCTTGTTGGCGTTGATGGTGAGACCCGCCGCAGAGAAGCGTTCGGCTAGGTCATTGAGCTTACTCTGCATATCAGAGCGCCGTTGTGCTAGTAGAGCAACATCATCAGCCGAAGCAGCCCACGGTTCGGTACACGGTCAATTGCACCCACCATGATCTCGATTACGATGAGGAACAGTAGGGGTGATAGTATACATCCTTGTCTCACACCAGCGACTACCCGGATAGGGTCAGACAAGGCGCCGTTATGCAGAACTCTGCACGTAAAAGCCTGATACTGCGCTTCGATGAGGTTTTCGATTTTATCCGGGACTCCCTTGCGTCTCAAGGCGCCCCTCAGATTCTCGTGATTGAGACGGTCGAAAGCTTTTTCGTAGTAAATGAATACCAAATAAAGGGAATTAATTGACCTGCTCCAGGATGATGCGGAGCATGCCAATGTGGTTCACACCAGATCTTCCGGCATGGAATCCTGCCTGCTGCCGCCGGAGAGTCGCGTCGATCTTCTCCTGTGTTCGGTTCAGGATAACTTTGCACAGAACTTTGAGAACAATACACAGTAACATGATGCCTCGCCAATTGTCGCACACAGTCAGATCTCCCTTCTTTGGAACCTTCACTAAGACGCGGTGTCCCAGATATTACAGAATAGTTGATGCAACATTTGAGCGGATATCATGGGGTCAGCAGCTTTGAGCATCTCTGCTGATATGCGATCGACCCCTGGAGCCTTGTTGGATTTCATGCTTCGGATAGCTGCTTCAATCTCCTGCAGTGATGGGGCCTCGGAATTGACGCGAGTGATGCACCGCACTCTAGGCGGATCATGCCGAGATGTTGATGGCTGGTTGGCCGTCGAAACTTGAAGAAGTTGTTCGAAGTACTCAAACCAGCGTTTCAGCTGGTCAGTGGGGTCGGTAAGCAATTTTCCAGTCGTGTCCTTCACTGGCATACTCGGGTTCATCCTTGCTGTACTTAGGCGTCGTGAGATATCGCAGAGGATCATATAAAGGGAAAATTCATTTAATTAAAGGGAATTTTGTGTATGTTGACAGAACTTCATTTAGCTAAAAGTTCATTCAGCTTCAGTGCTCTGATAAGTTCAATAGACTTAAAATATCACTTGTAAACTCCGTAGATGGAAATTTTTAAGAACTTCAGGGCACTTTGAAGAAATGTTGCTAACTTCATAAGCAAAGCGAATTACGTAGAAATTCCATGAGCTTCGTAACACTTCATAGAAAAATTGTAGAAGTTTAGCAAACTTTCTAGAAGTTCAGCAAACTTTGTAGTAGTTTAGCATGCTCTTCAAAACTGCAGGCGTTGGTTTGGGAATTTACTTGAAGTTTTGGAAACTTGGTTTCGCTCAGATATCTTTAGAAAAAAATCGTAGAAAAGGTTCAAGATCATTCCTGAAGTTTGGATGTCATGGGTGATCCAATATCTTGATAGAATTGAGAGAACTTGGAAAAAATGTGGGGTTAGAAAATTTTCAGGAAGTCCAAACTAAGGAAACTTTGTAAACATTCAAGGATCATTAGAGCAATTTTCCGCCCTTCAAGATTTTTTTTGCAGATGACATCTTCACCTAATTGTTAAGTTATAAAAAAAATCTACATTTGTCAGCAACACCAACTGGGTGTATCCTATAACTTACCTTCGCTACTAACAATTCCTAAATTCCCGAGACATTTATGAGGGGTCGTAGAGTTCTCTGCATCTCTCTTAAGTAAATGTTGAACTAACATGCCTTTCCTATGCCTACCAGAACGTGGCCAGGACAATCCTTAACTGTTGGAGCGGGATATGTCTTTATCTGGGAGATAGAAATTATTTCCTACTAACTACCAGTCTACTAATAGATATCCGTCTTGCTCTTAATAGTTTTGAATTCGTACGACCTACGATATTGTGCAACTTGTTCGATGCTAATGCTAATGACCTCTTCACCTAATTGTATAGTAAAGTGAACAAGAAATTTCTCCATACCTCTGAGTAGAAGTGACTCTCC